GGCAAGAGCTGCACCATGGGGCTTGGGGTGCCATTGCAGCTGGGGATGGGGGGGGGGGCCAGGGACACTAGGGGGGGCGTTTCCTCCGGAGCCTGGCTTTTTTTAGCTTGGAAGTTTTGGGGTGCGGCACTGGTTGCAGGTCCAGCAGAGGCACCTGGAAGAAAAGTCTGCTGCTTTCTTCTCTCTCCTCTGATGCTTCTTACCTTTGTCTGTGGGGCGACTGTCCCCCTTTCCCTGAAGTGCAAATGAGCAGTGTTGGGCAGACCTTCATTGGTATGGAATGCGGAGTGTTTGGAGTGTTTCTGCCTTCCTTTCCACTCCTGCAGCCCCTTCCGACCCCCAGAAATACCATTCCCTGGGGATCCCGCACGTAGAGGAGTGGCTCCACTGGTTGGGGGCAGGATGGAATGAGGGACATGGGGGCGATGTTGCTCCGTCTCCCTGTTCTACGAGCACAGATGTGCTTAGGAGAGGGGGGGCAATTGTACCCCTTTGTCCCTCTCCACTTCAGCTCACTGACCCGCACAGCTGCTCCACCGCATGGATCCCACAGCCTGATCGCACAGAACAATCTTTGCAGGGGGTCAGATGCAGGAGCCAGAGAACAGGAACGGGAAAACTCTGTGCACCTCTGGTGCACGGCTAGCTGAACACACATCAAGAAGATTTGAAAGGAGTTGTGGATTCATCCCCACCTGCACTCAGAAAAATAATTTATGAGTCCAATCCCATGACCAGAGCATTCCAGGGAGGGGGGGAGGTGTTCAGCTGGTCCTTTCTGGCATTAGTAGTCATGTGCTGTGCGTGAGGCAAAGAGGGTGAAAAAGGGCACCACTATCGTGTGTTCCTTGTGCAATCCCTACCATGCAGAAGGGCTGCACAATCTGCCCCAACTCCGCAGGTGCCTTTGGTGCGGGGTAAGTGCAGAACAGGTTATGATCCAAAGGCATTTTGCCCTGCTTTTCGGCTCCTCCTAGATATGGCAAGGCCCTGCAGATGGGCAAAGTTAGACAATTTGGAGAGACCTTCCCCTTTCATTATAGCACTGGGGGTGGGTGGGGGGCAAGGATCCCTTCAAATGCCTTCCTATGAGTGCCAGATTTTGGTTTGGAAGTGTCCCACAACACAAAGGGCTTGCCCACCACTGCTCCAGGGAACCCCCCCCCCCCAGCCTGGTGGGAATGGCATATCTTTCCTCTGTGCCTGCAGGGCTTCCTGAGCACCAACCGATGAAAGGTCCAGGCAGAGCTGGGAGGGAGGGAGGAGCTGTCTCTCTAGCCTGCAGGGCTGCGTGCGCTGGCGATTCCCGGCTTCCTCTTAGCCTGCCTCTTCCTCCTCCCCCCGGGGAACCTGGTGCGTGGACCATGAGAGCAATTGAAACCCCCCCTCCTTCCACGTCCTGGACTCCAGGTGCTCTCCTTTGCTGCTTTATTCGCCCTACCGTGTCTTCCCTAAACTTCAGGCACCTTGGCTGTGCCGTGGCCCAATTCCAAAGGGGGAAGGCAGGCTTTGGCCACCCCTCTATATGCTGCCATATAGAAGGGCCTCTCCAGGTTGGAATTGGTGCAAGAGCACCGCACCTCTTGCCCCGCCCTGTCCTTTTCTGTCTGTCTGGTCTGTCCTTGCTGTTAGATTTCCCCGCACCTGCCTAAGCCCTTCACACCCCTGTCCTGCCCCTGGCCTGGCACCACTTCCGTAGTCCAGCCCCGGTGGTCGCACTGTTTGAGGAATGAGTCCCATTGGCTCCCACCCTATTTGTCTGCATTGCATGATGGAGAGCCATGCCTGGCACCCCAGAGCATGCATTGCTGCGGGTCTTGACACTGGGAATGTCGATTGGATTTATGTATCTCTTGTGTTTTTCTTTCTCTCGTTCTCTTTCTGTTTCTCTCTGTCTCCCTCCCTCCCCGTCCCATGTGGGCTGTGATCACTGGCTTCCCTCCTCCCTCACAACCCTCCCCCCCCCAGGAAGCACGCGGAATGCCCACAGTTGCTGGATGTGGAGGACATGGTCCGGATGCGGGAACCGGATTGGAAGTGTGTGTATACGTACATCCAGGAATTCTATCGCTGCCTGGTCCAGAAGGGACTGGTAAAAACCAAAAAGTCCTAGTCTCCCCACCTGCGGAGCTTGGTGAGAATCCTTTTCTTTTTCTCCCTCCCCCTCTTTCCCAGGTCCGAGCACACAGGCTCACGCAAGCATCTGGGTGCTCGAATATGAACCATTTGCAGGCCAGCAGGCACATCGCAGCATGTCTGCTCTGCGCCTGTTGAGAGTGGGCCGGGGGCACCTTGGCTTTGTACTGGGGTGCCACTGCCACTGCCCTGAGATGATCTGCATTGCCGTGTGGTGTGGAGGGTTCTCTACTGAGTAAGCTTGACACAATCGCTGACGCACCCGTGCTTCCAAGGTCTGTGTGCTTTGCAGAGGGAATTGGCAAGTCCCATATCACTTCACACCATCCCCCTGCTTTGAGACAATGGTCTCCCATCTTTCCAGACCTAGGGCCCACCCTAGGCAGCCCCAGGCAGCATGGGACCTATTTATTTGTAAGTGTGTGACATCACAGTCATGTGACAGGAAGAAGGCAAGCCAGCATTACAACCTCACTGGTATTGAGAACTGTGGGCAAAAGGCTAGGAGAGTTTGGGACAAGAAACGCAAGCTGAGCGCTAGGAGGCGTTCCATAGTGAGAGAAGCAAGCCAAGAGCCAGAGCTGTGGAGGAATTCACCTTGCTTCACTGTCCTGCCGCTTCTCTCCACACGCCTGCATGGAGAGGCAAGAGGGTTAGCACTCTTGTTCTCTGTGCATGAATACGAGTGGCGTGTGCTTTCCCAAAAATGCAGGCACTGATGATGATAAAATGATGGCACTGCAGCAGCTCGTGATGCTGGGGTGGGGGTGGGGTCTCCACAACTCACCAGAGCATTTCATTCCACGGGCTGAAGAGCACTGCTTGAAGGCATTCCCATATTTGTTGACTTCTACAGTGTACGTAGCATGTTATTGGCTGAGCAGGCTCTTACATCTGACCCTCATTTTGAGCCGCCAGCTGTTTTTGTTTCACAGTGGCCAGTATTGGTGTCTGTGCTTTCCAGGAACGGCCTCTGTTCCCAGAATCCTCTGCTTCAGCTGGCTGAGGTGCAGAGAAAGAAACAGGCCAGGTGATGGAGCGTTTGGAGTGGGGTTTTTTCCTCCTCTTCTTTTTGGCTCTGACCATATAAGTCTTGGAGGAACCGAGAGCTTGGAAAATGTGACTCAGTCCCTGCTTGTTAATGTCTCCGCTTGTCTCAAGAGCATCTCTGCTTCCTTGGGGCCTCATTCTCCTGGGACGCTGGGTACACAGCATACTGAACAGGCTAAACAATGGCTTTATAAGGGCAGTGTGGCTTGCTCTTGGGGGCTTGCCCAGGTTTTTCCATCACCAAGGCTGCATCAGGCCTCCCAAATGACCTCTCTGCCCTACTTCACATGGGCTTGACCTGAGGGTAAGCATCGGAGAGGGCTAAGAAATGGTATCTGGTTGAAAGAAAAGGGTCAGTGAGAGAGTCTTCAGGGGACAGTATTGGAATTAAAGGGAAGTAAATATTGGATTTGGTGGGCTTTGCTGTGCAGTTATTCTGCCTCTAGACATGGATGGTCTGTTTAGCTATTCTGGATAGTTGCGGGTAGATGCATGCTTCCCTTTGGGCTAAGTGCACCATGATTGGGCAAACAAACAGCTTTTGGGTGCTTCCCCCCCCCCTTCTAAATTGCTGCAAAGTGATGGGGGAGGGAGGGGAGGTTTACACACCCACAGCGTGGGGGTCAGTGGCCCAGCCTTATGTAGTTCTCTATCTTTTCTTCGGGGGAGTAGCATGAAGTTGGTTTCCAGTCAGTTCTTTTTCGGTCATTTTGTTATTTCAAAAAATTGGGGGTGGCGGCTTGAGGGTTTTTTTTTAAATTTTGAAGAGTCTTGTCATTGATTTCAGATTTGGAGGTAAAGGCATTAAACAGGTGGCTGCCCTAACAGGTTAATCTCTAAGGATAAACTCTTCAGTTGTTTTTTTTTAATGTCCAGTTGGTTTTAACAAAAAACCGTATTGTTAAGCAACAGCATTCCATGTAAACATCTGCCGTCATGCAGATGGGAAAGGGTGGCTTTTGAAACTCAGCCTAACATCCACAACTTCTCTCCCCCATTCAGCTGTGCTCCCGCTCAGAGCTCTCCCAGCCAGAGCACTGAATGACCGTTTCGTGGTCTGTTTTGCAGCAGCGATTGATTTTGCCACTTGCACTTTCTGCCACAATTCCCTGGAAGAAGGCTTTTGGGGTACTTTTTCAGTGCTCTGCAGATATGGTTTTTGAAGAGGCAGAGGATTAAAACTCTAACTGAGTTGTCACCCTAACTTAGGGCAGACAGATAATTTTCACACCAGCCTGGGGTGAGGGTCAGAATTGGTCATTTTGCAGCCGCTGTTCGTGTCTCGTGGGTCCAGAATGTAATACCAGATGGAGGGAGGGGAGGGATGAAAGAGAGACCGCGAAGTCTGCACACTAAGCTCCAAAGCGACCTCTGTTGGCAAAACATTAGTACACATTTTAAAGTGTATTTATAGTACTTTTTAAATGTACATCTATTTTAATGCCATATGTTGAGTGAACGAAGTCTTTAATTCACATACCTTCACAGCAGTCCTGCAAAGTAGGCTGGGCAGAACTGTTTCTCACGCCTGGCTACCCAGTGAGCTCTGTGGCTGAACGTGGGTCAGGGTTCATCCAGAGCTAACTTACCATTCACCCCAGGTTCCTTTGTTTCTTCACCATCACGTCATGACCTCCTGTCCCCAAACCACGAACAGGGCAAAATTTGTGACGAATTTGGCTTCGTGGTTCGGTTCGTGCCCATCCCTAGTCGCAGCTGACGTATGGTGACCCCATAAGGTTTTCAAGGCAAGAGATTTACAGAGGTGGTTTGCCATTGCCTGCTTCTGCGTAGCACCCCTGGTATTCCTTGGTGGTCTCCCATTCAAGTAGTTATTACAGCTGACCCAGCTTGACAGCTGAGACCAGATGAGATCAAGCTAGCTTGGGCTGTCCAGGTCAGGGCATGTCCGTATTCCTTAGTGGTACAAAAAGCAGCCTTGCAGGAAAGTACCCAGCCCAGTACTAATACAGCATAAGATGATGGGAGAGATGTGGGGTCTCCTGCCCTCCCCACCTCAAATGCTGCTTAATGGGGGCTACTGGGAAATCTTCCTGTGGACCATACCCAAATGAGCAGGAGCCCAGGAAGAGCACAGCGGAGCGTCCTGCTGGATTGTGGCCCATAGACCGGACCGGCTGCCATTATTGGCACCCTGGGGCAGAGGCTGCCTCTTTCTTGCCTCTCTCTGGGCCTTAACCGTGCTCTCCCTCTGCAGGATGCTTGTGGACTGTATGCCCTTGGTGGACGTAGAAGACATGATGATCATGGGGAAGCGTCCAGATGCAAAATGCGTGTTCACATACGTGCAGTCCCTCTACAACCACCTGCGGCGCCATGAGCTCCGGATGCGGCAGCAACACTTCTAGCCCCCCCTCCTACCCACTTCACCCATCACACACTCCTCCTCCTCCTCCTGGGAGCCACTGGGGGGGGGGGTCTGCGGGGAACAGAGGAAGGCTTGACCCGCCCTGATGTGTTCCTGCAGTCGGCTCCCCCCACACACACACGTACACTCGTGTCTTCAGAGTGGTGGGGCCCAGCAGCAGCAGCAGCCTTCCCGCCCCCTCAGGAGTGGGATGGGCAGTTTGCCATTCAAGCTAACTCAAGGGGGCCGGCCCGGGCCTGCGCTGTTCTGAGGAGAATACAAAGGGCTCGACCTCCCCTCGTTCACACGTGCTTTTTATATTATTGTTGTTATTTACTGTAAATTATTCCTTTTTAAAAGTCTCTTTGTTGTCGCCTGCACGATGCCCCCTCCCCCTCGGCATGGCAGAGCTGCTCGACCATGAGAGAACGAACCGTGTGAAACCGGACAGCGTTGTGGGCTCTCCTGACTCCCAGGAGTCCAGTGTGGCTGTTTTGCCCCCAGCGGCCTGTGCGGTGCTTAATCTGGAGAAAGACATTGTGGCCCAAGGCCTATTCCCCCACCACCACCCCAGGCAGGGTTCTTTGGCTGCGAAGACCTTGGCAAGGGAAAGGAAGGCGAGCTCTAGAGTGCTTAGGGGCTCTACTC